CCATTCATTATGTGCTCAAGCTTGAGTTATCCTCTCTTCTGTGTTGGGATGAATGTTATTAAAGGCATAGCTGTCTGACACAAGTCTAATGAAAAATAGGATGATTCTGAAGGTTATGTTGCCAGCTCGCTCACAAATGCCTGCTTCATTTTCCCCTGCAGCCGCACAGGGCAGTGTAATTCCCACCTCTTGATAGATCTTTTCTCTTAAGTTTTTCTGGCTGTGGGCTGGAGACTCATCATAAACAGACCTTTATTATCTGTGTTTTTTCCCCTGCAAATACTCCACAAAGGGCGATACTGGACTCTGGCACATGATACAATTGTGAAAAACTATGTGTTGAAGAGGGTCAGTCCTGCGTGGGTCTAATTGAGAGGCGTGGACATTTTTATGCAATTATTTTGAATTAAATGTAAATAATTACTGACTCTGTGGTACCATTTGGAAGTATTTACATATTAAGTTTTTGTTTTGGTGAATTAAAAAAAGCTAGGTATTTTACTTGATTTTAATATGAGACACATTATACATTGGAATTACTATTACTGTTTTTTATAAATTCAGAGTTAAAATGATAAAGTAAAATGCGGGATGCACCATATACTTATGATCAACAAATGTTACTTTATCATTATTTACTGTGGAATAGCACATTTGTGGAGATATTGTTTTACTCTGTATTTTTCATGTCAGTTTAATTTTGTTTCACTCAATCCCAGCTCAATGGAAACAATAGAAAATGAATAGTGATAATATATATCACTATCACCATTTTCCATATAAAATGGAAATGGTAATATTTTGCTGACTATCATTTGGATGAAGTCTTTTAAGTAATTGTTTACAGGGTCTTTTTGCCTTTTTCATTTTGAACAAGCAGAAAAGGAAAAAGGTTTTTAGAGCCCTTGTTTGACAGAGAAGGATTGGTGTCGGGGTCAGGATTGCACTTTTCAGAGCTCAGTCCAAGGTGACGGGTCATGCTGGTACTGACCCCTCCCCACCCACACAGCCGCTGGCCTGCCCCCCTCCGGCCCTCCTCTGTCCCCCCCTCCTGCCCTGCTGTGGCCTGCCTGTCCCTAACAGCCCCATCAGAGTCCCTGGGATCACACGGGACGCCACTGACAGCTCCAATTTGCCCCATGTCTAAACAAATAATACATTCAAAATAAAAAAGAGACTTGTTCTCACCAAAATGTGAGACGCCAATGTGTTCGTGTCTGCTCCACTCGCTGTAAAGTAACTCAGCGCTGAAGGTGATTTGAAGTTAAATTAAAGCTAACAACATGCATCATCCTCTGGCACAATTGATTTCATATTAAAAATCAATATCAGGGATTTATTGTTCTATTATGTTCTAGGAGCAACACAAATTAGCCTGGCTGGCTTATTTAAAAAGAGAAAACACACATCCATTGATTGGTATGCGGCATAATGTGTGGAATCAAATATGCCCAAAACATGTGATAAGAAAGTATAGTGCTGTCCTTAGTATATATCGTATATATATATATATATATATATGTATATATATATATATATATATATATATATATATATATATATATATATATATATATATATATATATATATATATATATATAAATGCTTGAATATATAAAAAGCATATTATGTAGATAATTATAATTGTCCGTTGTGATATAATACAAAATACTATTTAAGAGAAAACAAATACGATATTAACTATTTAATATACATTCCTAATCTCTAAATAGTCCTTATATTTTTTCAATTTGGGTAAAATTTGGAGGAATTGTGTTTTTAGAAAATTAGAATATATAAATACATATTTAATGTCATGCTATTTTTTTATTTTTGCCTTCATTACTTTTACTTAGATTACTTTTTTATACTTAATTACTTCAATAGTAGAACAGTATTGTGTGTAATAATCCATATATAATGATACACATATGGAGTTCATCTGGGCGTGTGGGTTGGAGTGGTAGAAGTCCGGTCTCTCCTCTCTGCGCTGCTCTCGCTCTCATCAAGAGCAGATCCCATAAACACAGATGTTCCCGGGTCAGACCGCCGCACTTCAGACAATTGGTCACCACCTCTTGCTGGGCGTAAATCACAGCCACACCGCGGCTGTGTGGGCGTCTCCTTTGCCCAAATTAAAAGAGCATTACTTAGACGCTAATTGAACTACCACAGCGCATAATCTTTGAAAAGTTAGGGGTCACGGCTTGTTATAACGCCTCAAAACTTGACTTAAATCTGCGTTTGTACCGTGTAATTTAACGCAGAGAATGTGATGTTTCTCGTACCTGTGGAGCGTTTCCAAACATGCAACTGTTGTGGCAGAAGTGGATGCGGAGGCGGTTTGTTAGGGGATGTTTTTTGAAGCAGCGACTCGGCGTGTCAGATTATGCCACACATGCATTTGACTTTCATAAGCTGTTTACGCTTCAGAAATTGTGGCAATGGCTTCTCTCTTGTGCAAAAGGCTTTTACATATGTTGTGTGTCTTCTGAAAACGCTGTCCCAGTTATAGCTATCATTCTGGGGGGAAAAAACAACAACGCAAGCTCGAGGAGGTTACATGAGGCTTGTCATTTTATAGTTTTCGTTAGTGATTTGCATCTTGTCTGTGATGGTAGATGGAAGTGCAGGCAGATAAAAGCAGGGGGAATAAAAGTTGAGTTTGTCGCTGCTTTCAATATTGTGTATTCATTCTTCTCAAGCTTTTTATATTTCAAATATATGTTAAAACTGCTATTGTCAAATCTACAACATTATTTTAGTTTTTCTCAGATCACCGAGTGATGGAATTAAACTAAAGGCACTGGACTTTTTTTTTTTTTTACAAGAATGAAAAGTGAATCTAAAAATGTTTTGGACAAATATGAAATCTGAGAGATAAAAAAAAATAAAATAGAAATAGGCTTGAGTTAAAGATACATAAACTCCTCTATATTACCCAAATCAAAGTACTTCACAAAGTTGTAACATGAAATGATTGAAAAAAAAAAAAAAATGTGTATATTATATTGTTGTCTGATCTAACAATAGGTAATATAGCATTATGTTTATTTGAACGTGATAAATAGTGTGTTTTTTTCTTACATGACTGGTGCATACAATGTAAAAATTTTAGAAGCCAATTCAAAGACTGCACCATTTTCCCTCACAAAGCCAGCTCTAATGTGCTTAATTTGTCCTGCATTGCTTACACATGAGCTCTTATTAGTGAGTGCAGGTCTGGTCTCAGGATCAGTGGCACTATCCTTTAGGGATGGCCCCTCTTTGGGAGCGAGGGATGTGAAAAAAACAGCATGACTCCTGTTCAAAGGCACAGACGACTTCTGACTGGATTAACATTTATTGACCGTTGGAGCTTTTCTCTTCTTTCCCTTGCTGTCTTTTTATTTTCACTTTCTTTTTTTTTTTGCTCCAGGACAAAGATTCAAACTTAATTGCAGTGGCTGTTCCACCAACTGATCACCAATGTGCCAACAAAGCCTCCCTAATAGGCGCTTCATTAAGGATTAGAAAGTCTCTATTACAAAACAAATTAAGCATGCTCTGATCTTAACCTATAGGTCGAATGGCATTACGGCGAAGTTTAAGCTGTTAGACGGCTGAAAAACTTATTACGGGTTAGTGCTGAGGTAGCAGTTTGGTATTGATTTTACGATAGCTAGGTATGATGATTTATGGAGTGCTTGTGTCAGTATAACAAGCTGAAGGACACACAATATCATCTCCAACATCATTAAAATTCAGAGGTCTCCAGAGCTAGCTCATCAAGTACTGTTCACCACCTTGGAATATCACACAGGCACAAAGGCAGAAAGAGCAGGTAACACATGCATCCACTCAACCTTTTAAACAGATACTCCTTCCCAGCCAGTATGCCAGAATACAGCCAACAACAACAGTTTGGCTTAAGTTCTCTTGTTTGGCCAATTCTACTTTTAAATGTTTGCGTTGTGATTTGTGCATAAGCTTGGTTAATGCTTGTATCAATTGTACAGGCTGCAGTTCAAAAGGTCTTGCCTCAAATCAGCTCCTCTGGCTCTGAGCTGCAGTTATGGAGAGCGTCAGTCATGCTACCAGGATGTGTGGTACACTAGAGCCCCCACTAGGCACAGTGAAGTACAGCAGCCAGCCCACCACGATCATGTCTGGGTAAAAGGACCTGTCTCAGCTTTCATGATAAACGAGGCAGCGCGGTCCGACAAATGTTGTTTGATTTACTACTAAAAATTATTCTCAATATTTGTCTGATCGGATTAATTTGTAAATGAAAATGCATTTAGAGCAAGTGTGATGCAAATTCCACTGAGTTGTATATTGTGACTAAAGCTGCCTTTTGCAAGTTAAGTGAGTTCCTTTGTCTGTCCCAGCCTTATTTTCAAATATTCATGTCGGGCACTGATTTGGGCAAAAACACTGTATTTTTTCAAATGGTCAATAAACGTGTATCTCAGTTTTGTGGTGTCTAAATATGTACAAGAATGTTATGTTTTGTTGACTAATAGGCTCAATGAAGCTTTGATATTGAACAAATATGATAATTTGGCATATTTACGTTTGTGAAAATGTTCATTAATATGTATTGTCCCTCCTTTCTCAAATAAAAAAATAACAAATATTTGGCTCTATTGAATCTAGCCTTTGTCCACTTGTACATTGTCAAAAGTATTACAAATACCTAAAACTAGTATCGAGTTTCAGAAAGTATTGATACTGAAAAGATACACAAACATTTTTTGAGCATTTGAAAAAAATATTTTGAGCTCAAGTACCAATAAAAAGTAGTATAACGTTGTAATGTTCTTTATGTTAAAAATGCTGCATGGAAGCACAATTAATAGCACTGGATGATTTTAATCCAGTGCATAATAAGTGTGCTATTAAATAAAAATTGGATCTGTCTTATCGCATATTGTTTGCATTTCTGGATATGCAAAATATTGTATTTTTTTCAACTACTTTTAAACTATACATTACTTATACTTGTAGCTTATTTATTTCAAATCCTACCCCCACCCCAGAAAGGAGACGTGATACTACCATGGGGATGTGCGTCAGTCCTAGGCCGGTCTGTGGGATGCAGGTGCAGCTCCAGATTCCTCCGGACCCCCCCTTCACCCCCCCTTGTGGATGCCAGATTCTCTCCATCATCTCCTCCTACCGTGAGGTCTAAGCGTCGGGGCAGGGCGTGTGGGCGGACGTGCTGGGTGCTGGCAACGCGCTCCGTCTGCTCGTGAGTAATGCGAGTACAGACATGAACAAACCCCATCCCTCCCTAACCCTGCTCCACTGTCCTGTACCCCTCTTATCTCCCCTTTAAAACCGACAGACTCCTGCTGTGACTTGGCGCACCCCACTGGACAGCTGGAGACTTGGAGGAGAGAAGCCGGTGCCAAGCTCGGGGCAGGGGAGCCGTAAAGGTGTAGGGCCCATACCTGCTAGCTGATCACCGCACCATCATGTGTAATTATCCCCACTTATAGCAGCCAGGTAACGCAAGCGCACGCAGATACACGCAGATTTAGCCCGCTGTAAGTGAGAAAGCTTGGACTCAAAAGCTGATTGTCCTTCTCGTTACACGGCTTTGATGAGGAAGTGGGCTCTGTTCTTATTATTCTGATTGATACACTATTACGACTGCTGTAATAGCCATAATAGGCCTCTGCATTGTTGAGCCACAGCTAATTATATTCTCTAACAACAATTTGCTCAGTCAGTGAGAGCTTGTTATTAGCAAACCCAAATGAGGAATACAGTATAATGAGAATAGTATACACATATATCTACCTCCGGCTAGGAGCTTGTGTTCTCGCCAGCGTCCGTTTGTTAGGTGGTTTACACTCTTAGCAAGACTAATAAGAAGCGGTTTATTTTTGTGGTTATTTTCAGAAATATAATAATATCCAAGGAAAAGAATGTTAGCATGGACTGAGAAAAAGCTTCATATTCTGGTCTCATAATCTACTTTTGGGAAATATATCACATTGGACAATGAGAAATGCGGACAATTAAGTTTAACAAGAATAGTTTAGTCTTAGATATACCTTTTCTTACAGTTCAATACCAAAGACTGAATGTTCAGGGTTGAGTCTGAAAATGGGGTAAAACTTGTGATGATAGCATTGACCTTCGTTTTTCAATTGCCTTTCTACACATTATGTAGATGTTATTAAAGCAAGACTGTTAGTCATGGTCCCCTATAGCTCCTAAAGTAAAATAAATGTATCCTTAAAAAAACGTACCACTTTAAGGTTATAAATAATAAGATGTGCCCCTCCCGTGTCCCATTTTCTCCGCCCTGATTGTGGAAGTATGTGCCTAATCTTGATTCATCAGTTACTAGAGCTTATTATGGAGCGGTGACAGCGCGCTCGGGTCGGTGATAGATGACACAGCTCAGACCACATTCAAACCGTGAGGCTCAAGTGACAATTATCTATGCAGACCTGGTTAATAAGGGATCTGCTGTTAACTATCTGAACCCACTGTCAGCGTCATTTGTCATGAAGGCCCCTGTTTACCTTGGAGACCCCCCCTGCCTAACATATGTAAAACCTGGATCTTTGTTCCTGTAATAACCTTTTATTAACAGGCTGACATCATGATTAAGTTTAGCCCAAACACGCTCACAATGAGGTACACAATTACCCTGTGCGCCCACACTATCGCAGCAGATCACAGTCACTCGGAATAATGAATATTGAGCTGCTGTTTGATCCATTCCACATCGAAAGCCCAATTTGCGGGAGCACCTGGAGCTGTGCCACTGCATGCAGTTTTTTGAGGTGATGATGGATACTCATGGGAGCTTATTTCCATGCACGCATCTTCTCCTGATTTGTAAAGATGATAAGTGCTTTGACCTTAGCTCATCATTACTGCTCATTAAAGCTTTTGTTTGCTCCACCTTGGCAGCAGCCGCTTTAAATCAGCTGCTTGAAAGGCATTAGCACTCTCAATGCAGAGAGTTGTCTGCATGTCTGCGGTTTAGTTTTCATTTAGTAACTTCTTCGAGGTCTCAAGGTCTCAGATTAATAAACACTTGCTGTGGTCAGAGGAGCAGCAGAGCAGAGGGAGGTGAGGTGCCCCCTGTCCTCTGTGAAAAGCATCTTTGCATCCCGCATCTTGATGTCTGGCTCACAGCCTCGTTTACTCTTTTCCTGGGAACGAAGCAAATAAAACTATTTGCAGGTCTGTAGCCAAGGGACTTTGTCTTCCATCAAGAAACACCTCAGAGCTCATAAGGGCAGGAGTTGTAAAAGACTTCCAGACAGCACTTGGAACATTTGCTTTAACCTTACTTGTCCAGCTCAAAAAGGAGAGATTTTCTGAAATAAATAATTAATGGTGTGTTTTTGTGGTATTGCACAGATATGGAGTCAGTAGGAGGCCAGGTGGAGCGATCAGATCTTCACAGCATCCCCACTTCCTGTCCCCCACAGAATGCTAGACTGTCTAGGCAGCATCTGCTGAGGAAAATAAAGCCCCTTTCCCTTCTCATGTAGAGAAGATCATTTGCATAATATCCCCCTCTGTAAGGTGAAAACAGAATAATAATTGGTTTGCCCTTTTCTCTCTGTGTGTTGTAAAACAGTTAGGAATTAATTTGAGGATAACTGTGCAATTAATTCTAAATGCTAAAGATGGTGTGGGGGCTCTGATTCAGAAGAGGGGGAAGGATGCACAGGCTGAGGTCATTGTAGTGTGGCTCAAACTTAACTCCTAACTACTTTTTTAAGAGCTGGACGTGACAAACAGGACCGACCTGGGGGCTCATTTACCCAGCACACTCGCTACAGACCCAGCCCATTCACGCACGCTACTTCCTTGTTTGCATTCTCCTCCTGATGTCTTAATTATGAATAATAGTTCTGCAGGAGAAAAAGGTTGCATGAAGACTTGGATTCATGAGTCTACTTTAACCTCGTTACAGAGCGCTGTAAATTTAACATGCATTCACGTTATGCCTAATGAGCGACACACTAATCAGTGCTTAACTTGAATGCTTGCTCTTGTTTTGAATGATACTGATGATAGGATGAATTATACTTCCTTGAACACATGCCACTAACACCTCCTGTAGAGACAGTAAACTCGCACTACTAACTAGATAGTATTGGGGACCATGATTATTTTTGATACATATTTTGTCCTATAGAGTTAAGTCACCTACAGCTCTGTGCTTAAAAACTACCGTACCTATTGCCTTAATCTTTTTGTTTGTATGGAACGACTTGTGATTTGATACTGCATAAGTAAGGGATAATGTATAGTACGCAGGTCATTATCAGAAAATAAGTACCAAAAGGGCGGACTGAACACACAAAATAAATTTCAGTCCACTTTTTTGAAAGCCAAAAGGTTTATTTAATAACTGCAAATAAAATTGTTCCCAAAGGTTTTCCCATGGCAGGCGAGTAACAGTTAGGCTAGCAACTTCAAAACTAGAACTCTACATAAAAAGAATACATACACAAAGAATTCTGAGCATCACCAGTGAGTGACGCATATATAAACTCAACCTAAGTCCATAATTCGATCCTCTGCAAATGCATCCGAAAATGTTTAATTCATGTTAATTGTTACTTCCGGGTTTACCGCTATTGCTTTTTGACGCATTAAAACAGTATTTTTGTCATGAAAACGTTAACAGATACAGTAATTCTGAAAACCTCCATACACGTGTGTTCAGAATGTATATGTATAATGTGTTCTCCGATTAACATATGTTTTGATCGATTGGTATTTGCGTTTATTGGGCGTGGGTAGCTCCGATAGCTGCTCTCGCAGAGACAGTAGCAGTGACATGGGCAGCGGTCATTATTGTTTTGAGAGGTCGGTTATCAAGAAATAATGACCGGTAGAGCGTTTTGAAATCACATTCAAATCGATGGAGCGTTCTACTGCTGCTGTGAGGAGCTGTGTGATAAACATATATATATATATATACAGTATATCTTAACTACATACAAAAATTTTTAGAAATGTTTTAAACATTTTCTTCCATACAAAGTTATTAAGCAAAATGTATTGCCCTTTTGCTGTAATCTTATTACTGATTAATTTTAATAAATCAGTGGTCAAGATCATTTAACATGTTGAGACGTTTATTTTCATCATTGTATTTTATTAGAAGAGGGTGCATTTTGGAACAAATAACACGTCACATATCTGCTGTAGCTGCTGATCCAAACCCAATGTCATGTCTCAAGCTCCGACATATCTAACGCGTCATGTCGGCCAGTGCTGTGTGTTAGCATATCCAGTGTTGTAAAAGTATCCTGCTCATGTGTCCCCTCCTCGAGCCCTGTCCTATTAGGGGTATAGTGGCTTCATTCGCCCGTACATTCACAGTGGAACAAGGAACACGCCTCACCATGAGTCCCAATTACACCTAATGATGGCCAAAGGACGGAGCACATGCAGATCGTGCCGCAGTTCCTTTGTCACGCCAGGCACCATCATTTATCACTGCAGTCATGTGCTGCTCTCCTCCCCGAGCTCAGACAATGAGCCCAAACACATCATCCATGCTCTTATTTGTGTTTAACAGCAGGAAACTGAGAAAAAATGCGTTTCAAGGCATTGCAAAGGCCCGAGCAAACTTGAGAGACATCTGGAATGTTTTTGAGCTTCCTTCTAACTAGTTTTGCGATGGAGCAGGTCACAATTGAATTTTAAATGATAATAACATGATATGTAAACAAATATGTGATTGTGAATATTGTTCAATCTGGTTGGAGCTCTTTGTCTTTGCGCAGACTGAAGCATTGGCACCTCATCATGTTAGGTCTGCTGCCTCAGTATCTGGCTGACTACCTAGTTCCCAGGAATGCAGGAACCCATAACCTGAGGTCTCAGAGCGTCCTGATGCTGTCCGTCCCCAGAGTTAGGACGGAACTGGGAATAAAGGCTTTAATTTTTGCAGCACCATTTGCATGGAATCTGCTGCAAACAAAACTTGGACTCAAGGAACTGACTTCTCTGTACTTCTTTAAGAGACGGCTGAATGTTTTAGATGTCTGCACATTGTACTTGTTTTATCTGAAAAATGTTTGCAATAATTAAAAATAGAATTGTGAAGAAAGCAGTATAACTGTTGTTATCCATTAAATCAAGACATTTTGGACCAGAATTATTCAATGGCTGCATGTCTGACCTGACTTCTATAGCAGCTGCTGTTCCTGACAAATCCTGAACCGATGTTCTTTTTCTTGTTTGTATAAATTTGTTCTTTGAAAGCCAAATGAGCCGTTTGTGTTGTATGTAGTAAGGCAGGGGAGAGCTTAGAGCAAGATCTGGGAGGCACATTTGTGGTGCGGCACGGAGGCGGCTCGGCGCTTGTCTGTGGCTTTTTCCTAATCCAGGCCTGATCTTTGTGTTTGATCCGCAGCATGGTCCTGAGACAGCATGAGCAGCAGCTATTGCCGTAA